TTTTCTGTTCTTTTAGTTTAAGGAGTAATATTAGCACCATTGAAAATATTATCTAGGAGTTATGGATTTTTTTTTTTAGGAACTAGCAGGATGAACAAACACCGTTTTAGATGAAATTACACATTACATCACTGTTTTTTTTTATCTGGTTTTATTTAATTAAGACCTAAAACGATGAGAATAAATGTCAGTTAGGTGAAACCTAGGAGATCCCCGTTAGCATAAACATGGGTCTTCTTAGCACGAGTAATAAGATTGATGATGTTCAAAATAAAACTCACCATTGGACAAATGTGACACACAAATCACCATAAAGACCTAGATTGTTCTCTAGAGTAAGGGTCGTTAAACAGTGTGTGCTGGAAACTTAATGATGTACATAAATCTTTGGCCACTCCCGCTTTAATTAATGAAACCCAGAATAGTTTTTCATTCTCCTTAAAAGTTAAAAATGTGCCTAAATCCTCTTATTTTTTTAATAACATTAGGTGAGTAGGTGAGTAGTTTGACCTTTAAGATTATATGCTGTTTTAAGGGTAAAAAAAACAGAAATGTCCATAAACTGTGAACAGCTGTGCCTTTGTGTTTTTTTTTTTTTGTTTTTTTTTATACAGTCCTTACATTTCTGTCTGTTTTCTCGTTTGTTTTCAAACTCAGTGCAAGAGTAAAGGAAAAGCTTTAGTAAAGAACATTGTTCTGGAGGAAGCAAGTGCTCAGAACCTGGAGGTCGTCGCCTTTCGTGAAGACATTGCAGCGTAAGTTCTTCCCTGTTGAAGGCACAATATTGTTTTTTCTTGTTGTGTAATAGGTTTAATGTTAAAGTTTCATTTTTACCCTTCTCAATCACCCAACAGAAACAGTTTGACTCATTGTACAAATGTTTGTCTTGAGACATCACTGTTTTCTCAAACCTTGTGACATTATTTTGGCTGCAGCAGGCGCCTTCCTTTGTGTGAAGACATTTTCAGATTAAACAGACACAACTTGTTGGTTAGGTCAAAATAAGGAACAATTAGAAAAAGATACAATAAACAACTTGAACTTTTCTTGTTTATTGATCTCCTGTGATGCTGCTGCTACAGTGTCATGTATCATGATGCTTGTGAATGATTAATACACTTATTTGTTTTAAGCTTCTGTAAAGTTTGCACCAGCTGGAATGTACCGGATACAAGCTGCTGCTGATTGTGTTTTTCTTTCCTCTTCACCAGCCTGCGATCCAAATTCCCACACAGTGACATCTCCACCAACCCTGGCTACGTGCTCAGCCCCGTCATCACACAGAGAGATGGTGGAGGTGACAATAATTGTTCTGTCAAGGTTTCCATCGAAATCTCCGATTCTCAGCAGCCTGTAACCTTCACCTGCGACGGTAAGAATCCATGGATAAAATATCTGAAACCTGACACACTTAAGAACCAGTTATAAAGGAATGAGGGAGGAGCAAACAGCACTGTTCTTACCTTGTTTTTTTTCCCAGATTACAAACAATACATGTGAATTTTAATCAAGGAAGTGCATGAGTGCTCTGATAGCAATGTGCTCCATTGTTTCAAGAAAGCCTCTAAAATAGAAACCCTGTGCCCTTGTTGCTTTTGAGAAGAAACAGCTCAGATTCCAGATAAGAGGGCTATGGACAAGGAACCCGCATTCGCAGCTGCCAAACTCTTCACCCCCTCCTCGCCCTAAATTTTTTTTTCTTTTTCCCATTTTTTTTCTGTCGTGGGAAGTACACTACGTTCCTTTTCCGCACAAATAAAGGTTTGTCCCTTCACTGCGGTGTAGCAGTGTTGTATAAAAAGGTCTGGATATTTTCCTTTTGTCCCTACAGGCCCACACAATGTTTTTTCTTTCCTGTTTTAAGTGTCTGGATAGCTTTTATTGGCTAACCTCTAATTTTACATAGACTCTAATACAAGTCCTCCATGTCTTTTAAGCAAGCAGGTCTGGAGGGCTACTTTATTAGACACTTTATCACAAGTATGTGGTTCATTGAAGGTAAAAACGATAATGTCCAGAGTCATATTTAATAATTAGTTTATAACGAAAAGAGAATCTTTTGATTTTTTTGATTTTTTTAGATTTAGATTATATAGTGGTTTTCCTGTCCAGAGATAAGACCAGAGGCCTGGCAGCAGAGAACGTGCTCTGTGCAGCTACTGTGAAGGTTTGCACTACATGTGTAGCCCATCAAGGAAATCTTTGAGGAATGTTGGGACAGTACTACGTCACAGAATAAAATGGAATAAAAAACTGACACCGCCAACTGTAGTGCTCAGTGAAGGATTTTGACTAAAGTAAAATATTCAGTGGTCAATAATTGTAACTTATTCCAGGGGACATTTAATCTTCAAATAATTTTGAAAAAAATGTCAAAGAGGGCAGTGAAAATACGTGTCTTGGATCAATAATACTAATAGCCAATCTTTCTCTCTGCATGTTTACCTTTCAAAATTAACATTTTGCTTTGATTATGAACATCAACATCTAGTGATTGTAATTCTTACTGACAGTGAACTGTAGGAGTAAAGTTAAGTGACTAATGTTAATGTTTCTACATACAGTTGCTATAACAACTGGCAGAGCACCTCTGGTCTTTTTCACTCCCTATCTGCAATGAGACAGATGCAGCCAATGATCCATGAATACATTTCTAAAAGCAGCTAATGCCAGAATGAGGTTTTAACACTGCACATTTTTGTGTCTGTAACATATTGTCCCACTGACCTAGAAACTATAAATGAATCAGTTAAGACTGCAGCCCACTATAGGAAGTACATTTCTTACTTTCCTTGTTTTAGATCCTAATTGTCCTTTGGCAGCTTCCGGCACAGACTTCTCCTTAAAACAGCGCCAAAGGTCGCTTGCTAAATGTCATTTCCAGTCTGATGTGCAATCCTTTCTTACTGACTTCCTCTGGTGTAGGCTGGTTGATTCATTTGGTTGAACACAAATTGCACACACTTAACAATATGTTGGAAAAATATGGTAGTCGAAGGTCAAAAAGGTTGTGACCTCAGGAAGCAAGGATTCATAGAATACACATGCTAATTATTCAACGCAAAGTCAACTTTACTGTGACATTTTGATGTTGTTTGACCAAAACACCAGAACAGAGCTGTAATTTCTCTGTCTGGCAGAGGGATTCAACCACACAGTCTTAATTCTAGTTCTCAGAAATGATCTTTCTAGAGCCTGGCTGTGAACAACAACAGGCTGCTGGGTATTTCTCACATGCTGTTGTTGAGAAGGAAACACTGAACGAGAGAGAGAACCCAGCCAAGGGAGAAAGGAGGCTAATGAACCGTAGAACAGTTCATTCAGATCAGGTGCCTGCAGTGAGATGGCACCTGTCAGTGGGCACTTCATTGGCCTGAGCAGACATTGATAAATACCTGTTTAAACACTACAAGCAGCAAGTCCTTGGTTAAGATGTCATTCCTTATGTGATTAAGCAGATTAATGAAGATCTAGAACTAATTATACTCTAGTTACTGCAAAGAGCTACATGATGTACAGAGCATGGCCACACATCCCTTAAACTAAAGTCTCTCACTTTCTGTCTTCATCTTCATATTTTCCTTTTGCTGTGCATTTTTCCCTGCCATTTTGAGAGCAAATTTGGTAGGCCTACACTATACTCAATGGTTTTTCCCTCCAAGTCATTTGCGTCAAGCCCCATGCGCGTGAGGTTCGCGTACCATAAAAAAAAAGACAGAATTTGACATGAACGTAAGAGCCGCATAAAACCAGGCACAAACTCCATGCCTGATCTAGAAATCAAAGTAGTAGCCATGTGCAAAATGTTTTCGAAAACTTGTGATAAAGGAATTTTTCCTCTTTCAAACGATGCCCTCAAAAATGCCCTGATGGCAGTTCTCTCACCACCTCACAGATTGAGGCGTGACCCATCTAATTGGTTTGTTCCAAATATCTCCACTACTATGTCTGACCACAGCAGCCACTAGTGGCAAACAGGCTCCACTGTCTGTGGAGCTTAACCTACTGCACCGAGCTGTAGGAGAAGATGAACCACTCCTTCAAAGGGTGGAGGTCTGTTATTGCTGAAGGGGTGGTCTCCCACCCTGTGTGCGTGCATACGTGGATGTCCTATTAAATAACCTGGGTGTGTGTCTATTAGTGTGTGTATTTGGGATTGGTTTGTATTTGTCTTTGTATCCTACCTGTCCTGTTTGTGTATCTGCTGAGTTCAGAAGCTTCTTAAACCGCTGTAGCAGCAGTTCAACATCACATTAATCTGCAGTGTGTCACGTTCCAACCTCTGATCTTGGCTGAACACAGTCCACACACAAACATCTAAGCCGATCTGAAGTCCTCTTCCTGCCTTCTCATCTGAGAACAGGTCTGGTTTAACAGGGAAAAGGAGGCGACCATACTGTAGCAGCAGTGGCTTGTGTCCGTGAACTTGAATCATGAATTCATACTCCCCTAAGGTGGTGCAGATTTATTTTGCCCTGCCTTATGTTGCATGGTAATAGTTCTTGCTAAAATATTTACATAAAATGTCTTTTTTTTTGTGGTGTAACATAATTTTCATTCCTTTTTTTTTACTCCTTTTTTTACCAACCACTCACCCTGGTCACGCTACTGTCTCACTGATCAACTATTCTTCTTGTTGTTGTCTAATCTGTCCCTTCCTTCCGCTTCCTCAGTGAGTTCTCCAGTCGAGTTGTTGATCAGCCAGACTCTGTGCTGGGTTCATGATGACCTGGATCAGGTCGACTTCTCCAGCTACCTGCTCAAAGTCTGCGGCCGGGAGGAGGTGCTGCAGAAGTGAGTTTCTGATTCATTAAAAATAATCAAACAAAAAGGTGCCACAGACACAACTTTGTCCTCTCTTTTCACAGAAGTTGTAACTGTATTTTAAATGCAAAAGCTCTCAAAGGATCCTGACCTATGTAATCACAATGAAATAAGTGATAAAAGGAAATTGTAGGCCAGATCTAAGTAACCACTGAACACACTGTGTAAGATGTTATATTTCAAACCCTTGCCTCTGCCTCGTCCTGTGCCACAGTAAACACAGCCTGGGCAGCCACGAGTATGTCCAGAACTGCAGGAAGTGGGAGAATGAGATCACTTTACAACTTCTCTCTCAGTCCACCATGAGAAGAGACCTGGCACGAAGCGTAAGTCACTGCATCAACCCGACATTTGAGCCTTTTATTGGTTTGTGACATAATCTGTTGTAAAGGTTATTTTTTAACTGGGTCCTTCGGCTGGGAAGATATTTAATTTTATTGGCTGATTACATAATTGGAAGGTGAATTTGTGCTGATGTTCTCAGGCTGAAGATGATGGCTCTAAAATTGACTTAGAGAAACACTTGGGACAAGTGGAAAGGCCTTTTAAGGAAAATATCACCAGGTATGTGGGTCTCACAACGATGTTAAAGACAAGTCCCAGAAATTGTCCCATCAAAAAATACCAGACTCCCTCTGCAGTTTTAAGCCCTGTTTTAAGTAATTTCCTACCTTAGGGAATTGTTCTTATTGTTGTCTTTATTGTTAGAGCGGAAATATAGATATAGTTGAATCACTTGTAAAAACCCTGTCTTAACTTGGACATTCTTCTGTGATTACTTAAAGACAAGGGCTGGCTGATTACATGGAAGGTTACCACACGCAAGTCAACATCTGTCTCCAAAATGAGGTATGTGAAAAGGCTGGAAAAGGTCAAAATAAAGGAACAAAATTATAATGAGAGAAACTGTAGAGGCATTTTTTGTCTTTGTTTTTTCTGTTTTGAAAAACATGATCAGTGACCTGATGTTGGTTTTGGCTATTAAAAAAAATATATACATTATTTATATATAAAAAAATATATATATTATATACATTAAGACACAACGCATGTTAATTAATACCCACTGACTCCATCTTTTGTCCTTAGAGTACCCAGTATAAGACAGTGGAGCGGGTGGTGCAGACTGTGAAGAACCTGTGTTGTGCTCTGGATGAGGTGGAGACGCAGGCCGTCACAGAGGCTGTGAAAAAGCTGCGTCACTCTGTCAATTTACCTCGGACACGATCGCCCAAGGTGTGGTTTTAACAGATGTTTAAGTGTGTGTGTGTTTCGATTTTTAGAAATATAGGGTTTATATTCAAGAATGTATTGCTTTTTTATAGTTGGGATCATCATCTCCTGGTCAGTCATCAAATGGTAGGTGTGGTGCCCACAGACACTTCTCTTTCTTTACTTTAATCCACCATTGTTGTTACATCAAATAATAAGTCGACACTGTCTTATTATTTTTTAACTTTGGCTCTATTTATTACTGTTTAAAGAATTTACATATTTTAAATGTGCCTGGTGCTATTTAAAAGGACAACTGAAGTACCTCAGATGGGCAGTGTATATATATATATATAGTTCATCACTTTCTAATAAAACTATTAAATTCTTATATCTTTACTACTAAAGCCATCTGTTTTATATTTTCTCTCTGTGGTTTAACATTCTTACAGATCCCACCAGTCCTGTGGAGGAGAGCATGGCACGGCTGACGCAGACGGTCTATGACCTGGCCAAGCTTTACCTGCGCTCTTTCTGTCCTCCCTCCAACTCCTTCAGCTCATGTGCTCTCCCGCAGCCTGCAGGAGAGGAGGCTGTGGAGGGTAGGAGCAGCAAGGAGGCCTCTGGTACCACGGATCACCTTCAGTTCACTCTGTTCGCTTTGCACGGCATCCCAGCCAACTGGGTCAGCAGGTAAAATGAGTTTTAAACATGAATTCTGTAAATAAATGTGTTCTTATACTATGACTGAAGTGTAGTGATTAATAGGAAAGTGAGCACAAAATAGTCAAAGTAAGTTTCCGAGATAGTAAACCTAGATCTTGTCCCTCATCTGTCGTGGGTTCAAGAGACGTGTTTGTTCATGCCACATCAGTTTCCAGACAGAAGAAGGAAAAGTGTAATTATAACAACAACTATCTGTTGTAGTAGACTGGTCAACAGTCTAGATTAGATCCCTCCGTTTGCCCTGTGTCAGCTGCAGTAGATTCCGGCTCATCTGGTAACACTTTTCTTAATAAGTAATGAATCAATATATGAGTCATAGTTCTTTCTAATTGAACATCAAACAACAAGTTTTGTATTCTGGTGTACAACAATTGCTAAAAATTGTTACTGATTTTCTAGGAATTTTGTTTCCTCTCAAACGCCTCTAGTGTTGCTCTCTCTCTTCCCAGTGTCCATTTTCACCATGACTTTTGTCTCTTTACGTGCGTCTGAAGCACAGTGGTGTGGTTTTTAGCCGTTTGTGCACCGTGGTCAAAGGTGGACACTGTTACACTTTTGAAATGAAAAAACCTGTAGGAAGTGTCGGCACGCTGGTGAGCTGGTGGTAGCAGCTTGAGAACCTCGGCAGCACCGTCTCTCCACAGTCATTTTCTGGCCACTGATGCCAACACGCAGAGAGGAGCAGCTTAATAACAGGCCTCTTTACTGCAGCGCTGCCTCTGAGAGCAGCTATTTCTAGACTGCACCGAGCATTGCTGCCGTGACAGTCATTCCACAGACACTTCCAAAAATATTTATCTCCTCACAATACGATGCCAGAAGGAATCTGACATTATGGTATCCCCCGATGCAATCAGGCAGTTACGCATGTCTGTTGTGTTGTGTTGTGTTGTTACTCTGTTGTTTCACTATTGAGGTCTGAGCAGTTGTCGTTGTTGTGGCTCGTGTTTCATCCATCTGCAGCCTCAGTGAGATGCCAGGGCACTGCCAGCATATTGAGACGGCATGACATTGTGGTGTAGCTGCCAACACAAACCCACTGACTAATACATCAGGTCTGGAGTGAAAATGTGTGACTGATTGCATGGTGAACCCTCGGCCACATATTCACTGATTAAAGCCCTTTTTCCAGTGTGCGACTGTTCCTACAATGTCGCTGCAGATATTGCAAAAAAATATGCAGTTATTTCTTTTTTGCATTACTTGATATGCAATGTCGCTGCAGATTGTTATTTCTTTTTTGCATTACTTGATATGTTACTGTCGTTCATGTTCTTTTAGGTATAGAATGTGTTCTGGTTTGAGTCGAAAAGCTGTAGAACACAACTGAGATTCACTTTATTCATATATTTGCAGATGCCTTCTACTCCTTCACACACAGTATTATGTACATGCATCTGAGTGAGATAAAAGAGCCAAACAGCTGCTCTACTTACAAACTCAACAAAGAGTCACTTCTAAACGGGAATCAAGGTCAAAGAAGAAAACGATGTTGAGACAGTGTTATTTATTACTTGTACTTTTTAATGGGATTATTTCATCTCCATCAGGGAAAGCTTACTGTTATTTTAAAAAAACAGACTAAACTTTGCATCAGAGACAGCAAGAGTGATAAAGAGAGGGAGACGGGGCTGATGGGGTTGATCGACTTAAACTGAACAAATGACTCCACGAAAAACTGAAAACAAAGGCGGCGTGCCCTAATAAACAGGCAAAGGTCGTACAACACTCAGTTGTATGGAAGTGAAACTTGTTTCAGAAGTCAATAAATTATTAGTGTTAGTTTCGAAATGTACTTTTTCATTCTGTTTTGCAAACAGATAAAACAGAACATAGTTGTACAAATGCACATGAAGGAAGACTTTCTTCTCTTTTCTATTCCAGAATGTGTAAAATGTCTTAACTCAACTCTAAGCAAGTGTTGAATGTGCTGTTTCAGCTATGAGAAGTACTTCCTGATGTGTGCCCTCACCCACAATGGAAAGAACCTGTTCAAACCGGTGCAATCTAAGAGAGTGGGAACATACAAGAGTTTCTTCTACCATGTGAAATGGGATGAACTGTAAGAGATTACTTCCCTTCCTTTTCCTCTCCTCTCTCCTGCAATTGCTCAAAGTAGTAATTAATTTTGACACTCCTAGTTTTTACTTTTTTTTTTTTTTAAGTCTCCTATACAACAACAGCCAGAAAGTTCTGTTTGCCGTGTCCTCACTATGGACTGACTCTGTCCTCCTCTATCCCAGCATCAACTTCCCCATCGCAGTAGCTGTGCTCCCACTGGAGTCCATACTGAGCCTGACTTTGTTCGGGGTGCTGAACCAAAATGCCGGTGGATCCCCAGACTCCAACAAACAGAGGAAGGCGCCGGAGCAGCTGGGCAAAGTTTCCATCCCCCTCTTTGACTTCAGACGGTGAGCAGAGAAGAGTAGTGTCGTAGTCAGAGGCTGATTCATGGTTTGGTGTGATTTTATCAATGTTCACACTGGTCACACAAACCACTAAACCAGTAACTGCACTTAGCTCAGGCAAGCTAACGGCCCCTCACTGTTTTTCAAAAACACTAAATAAAGTGCATTTTACTTATTTGTTCATCAAATATATGTTTATTAATATATATTTGTTCATCATTTAGTGTCATTTTAACTCAACAATTTAAACTTAAAGCTAGAAGTGCTAACAGTTTGAAAAATATTTTTACAGCTCGTGGACAATATTCTGTTGTAACAGCAAATCCTTGAAATTTTATTTTATTTTTGCCAGAATGGAGGGTGATGTTTTTGGAAGTATAAGGTTGTTGTTCATAGCGCTCTGTGTGTTCCAGGGTTCTGGCCCGAGGCAGCAGGCTGCTCTGTTTGTGGACATCAGCCCAGGGAGCTGCTGCTGCCACCGCGGGCTCCATGGGCGGCCGCAAGAGGATTCCCACAGAGAGAATTATACTGCAGGTCAACATCGTCTTCCACAGAAGCTGTTCAATAATAGTCTCATTACTAACCTACTGTACCCAAGATAGTAAACATCCTAAAGTGACTACTTTGTACAATATGTAGCAATTGAATAATTTCTATTAGTGATCAGTGACTAGTGAAAACAAATGATGAAAAGTATGGTTTTGCATCTATAAAATATTTCAATCTGATTGGTTGTTTATTTTATTTTCGTCTAAAGAAGAAACTGATCAGCAAATTGATTTCTGTTTTACCATCAGGTGGACTTTCCCAACTCTCCAGTTGATGTTCTGTACGTGGGACCCAAAGAGGTCACCAGTCCAGAGCCCCTCACCCTGGAGGAGCTCGACCCAGACCTCCGAAGAAAAATGGAGAAAATCTGCAGCCGAGCTTCTAACTTTGGGTGAGGGAAATCCACTGTTCAGACCACCCAGTAGAGTCCAGTAGAGTCTTTGATTTAAAATAGAGATTTCCAAAGTAATGCCACAGACTCAGTTCACCATAAACACCTGCGTCTCCTTTCCTTCCAGCTGTTCCACCTCCAGCTAAGTTTCCATCACTTTGTCAACATCTAGCTTCAAACCTCGGCCCTTTAGAACAGAGTCTTTATCCTCACTGCATGCTTTCTGTGCTGCCCCTTCATTTCCCGAGCCTCTTTGAGGACAACAAGTCAAACAGCAGCTCCATTGATCGGTTTTGTGCTGATTAAGGTCACGTGACCATCCATTGTTCTGATATAATGAATTTTTCATGGCGAGCCAGACATAGATCAAATAATTGTCCGGTACACCTCCAGTATAAAGTGCAGAATGTGCGATCAGTAACCACAGAGATGATACATTTAAGAAGCTTTTAACAGTATACAATTTTAAATGGGAACAAAAGTACAAATACAACCAATTATTAATGTTTTATTTGAAAAAAAAAAAATTTATTTGATGTGATTTGGCTGAATCTGCAGACTGAAGCGAGCAGATCATCAGATCCTATGGGACCACCAGCTCCACTGTCAGAGGGACCACCCCAGCAGCCTGCCCAAGGTGCTGGCCAGTGCTCCCAGCTGGGACTGGGCCAGCATGGCTCACATCCACTCGCTGCTGCACCAATGGCCTCCTCTCCCCCCGGTCACTGCACTGGAGCTGCTCGACTCAAAGTGTGTACTGTTCACATAAGTATTACAACAGAAACATTCATATATGTATTTTTCTTTTATATGTATATATTTATATATACTGTGTGTCTGTGTGTTTTCAGGTTTGCAGATACAGAAGTGAGAAGCGTGGCTGTTAGTTGGATTGAGAAGAGCAGTGATGATGAACTCACAGACTACCTGCCACAGCTCGTACAGGTGGAGTACAATATTTTTATTTTATAGTTAAAAACACTGTCAATGTACCACTTTTTTAATAACTTCCTTTCCTTCTTAATGGTTCTGTCAATTTTCATTTTTCCTTCTTGTTCTTCTAGGCCTTAAAGTTTGAATGTCACCTGAAGAATGCTCTCGTCCTCTTCCTGCTGTCTAGAGCACAAGGCAACATCAACATTGCCCATTACCTCTATTGGTGAGTTAACTGTTCCCAGTACATCTTCGAAGCGGAACAAAATAATCAATAATTTAAATATTGATTATCTTTCAAATGTTTTTTTTATGTTTTTGTGTCTGCAGGCTGCTAAAGGATGCAGTACAGGATCCGGCCTGGGGTTGGCGCTACGAGCGGGTGCTGGGTGCCTTGCTGTGTCTGTGCGGAACCAAACTGAGGGCAGAGTTAGAGAAACAGACTCACTTAGTGACGCTGTTAGGAGCTGTGGCTGAGAGGGTCAGACAGGCCGCAGGGTCCACGAGACAGGTTTGTCTGTCTGCAAACTGACATTAATGCTGGAACTTTGACCTTTGAATGACAAGATGAGTTGGGTGCATATTTTCAGGTAGCGCTGCAGGAGGGCCTGGAAAATGTTCAAAACTTTTTCCAGAGGAACAGCTGCCGACTGCCCCTCAGCCCCAGCCTGGTGGCCAAAGAACTAAACATCAAGGTATTGTACAGACACATACATACCACTTAACAGTAGGCTCCAGTGTTTGGATCCTGTTGCATTATTATGGTATGATAAAATACAAAAGCTGAAACTGCTGTTTGCTGTGCACCCAGGCCTGCTCCTTCTTCAACTCCAATGCAGTTCCTCTCAAGTTGGCGCTGGTCAACGCTGACCCTCTGGGGGAAGAGATCAACGTCATGTTTAAGGTACAGCACACACTTTTATTAGATGCTGGTCATTTAAGAATCAGGTTTTTGCAGTGTGATAATTACAGTAACATACAGTGGCTGTCATGACTCCCCCTGGTGGCTGAAATGGTGTCGCGCTTATAATAGACAATGTGTGGGTGTTTCAGGTTGGAGAAGACCTGAGGCAGGACATGTTGGCTCTGCAGATGATCCGCATCATGGACCGCATCTGGCTGCAGGAAGGTCTGGACCTGCGTATAGTCAACTTTAAATGCATCTCCACTGGAAAAGACAAAGGTAAAAGACAAATGTGGTTACAGTGAATGTCAGTCCACCTTAATATGACACAACACAGACTGATGTGCACACTTGTATTTTTCACCACCTTATTATTTTCACCAATAATAACGTTTTTTGTATTCAATTAAAAGAAAACTTGTAAAGTTAGAAAAATCATCATTAACTTTAGGAGGAAAGTTACTAATAAAAACATCAAACTTAATTTTCAATATAAACTTCATACACCAACATTATAATATTAAAAAACCTACATGTACCGTCTGTATCTTTAAATACTCTCTATCTCTCTCTATAACTTTAAAATGTTTTCTATGAATTTTGTTGTGGTTGAGTTCACGTTCAATCAAAGATTCCACACATTGTCCAGGTATGGTGGAGCTGGTGCCGTCCTCCGACACCCTGAGAAAGATCCAGGTGGAGTACGGTGTCACAGGATCCTTCAAGGACAAACCTTTGGCAGAGTGGCTCCGCAAGTACAACCCTGCTGAGGACGAGTATGAGAAGGTACACGAGCACAAAGATGAGAAGTGGATTTTTATATAATAATCTGAATTTCTGAATTTTAGTCCAAATATGTAATTTTATAAAATTGTGTTTCTGTAGTTTTTCACAGCTTGAACTTGTATCTTCTTCTTTTTTCCACAGGCATCAGAGAACTTCATCTACTCATGTGCAGGATGCTGTGTCGCCACCTACATCCTGGGCATCTGTGATCGTCACAACGACAACATCATGCTGCGCTCCACTGGTCACATGTTCCACATTGACTTTGGCAAGTTCCTGGGCCACGCCCAGATGTTTGGCAGCTTTAAAAGGTAAAAATAATGTCCTTTTTTTCCAACAAATTGTATCACAGACCTATGATTAATAAACATCCACAATATCAAAGATTCTCTTTGCTCATTAAGACCGCCATTTAAATCCTCCCTTCTGTATTTCCCATTAGGGACCGAGCGCCGTTCGTCCTGACCTCAGACATGGCCTACGTCATCAACGGAGGAGAGCGACCCACCAGTCGTTTCCAACTGTTTGTTGACTTGTGCTGTCAGGCCTACAACCTCATCCGCAAGCACTCTGGGCTGTTCCTCAACTTGTTGTCACTGGTGAGTCAAACACACACACAGGTGAACACAGGGAGCATAGTTTTTTAATAACAATTGATTATTCATTTGATTTTAGTCTTTATCCAATACACATTTAAGACAAACGTAATTATAAAAGACTTTTAAAGCATTTTTGTCTTTTTGCCTATGAAAGTCTTCTGTGCACAGTAATGGAGGTTTGGTCCTAGTTAGTACTATTACATAAAGTCCATACAGTAGTATATATATATATATTTTATAATACAATGCCAGGATACGCCATATGGCGGATTAAAAACTCATCTTCATCATCATCATCATCATCTCCTTCATGTGTCTTCATGTCACAGATGACGTCCTCAGGTCTTCCAGAACTGACCGGTTCTCAGGACCTAAAGTATGTGTTCGATGCTCTGCAGCCTCACAACACAGACGCTGAAGCAACGATTTTCTTCACCAGGTAAACACAGCATCGCTTACTTACTGAATTCCTTCAATGGTGAAAGGTTTTCTAATCACATTTTAAAAATAAAGAATACCGGTGTATATATATAATTTTTTTAATGTATTTGTTTATTTTAAAGAATGAGAATCAAAGAAAGATGTGTATTTTTGGTGTACTTCAAACTGAACATCACTGGTCTTCAGCATTGTGTTTCCCCACCCCCAGAGGGCAGTATTATCACAGAAAGTACAGATTTGCCCTGGATGTTGTCTTACGTTACATCAATAAAAGTTCTCAGTTCAGTGTCAGCAGTGTCAGGTGTATACTGCCTTTGTCTGAATCCTATTAGAGGAAAACCTGAAAAACAAAGGTCAATAGAGAGTTTGTTTTGCTGAGCATTTTTGCTTGTTTTACATATTTTATTTCTTCTACTGTTTTCCCATTCCTCCTGAATCTGCAGGTTAATTGAGTCCAGCCTGGGAAGTGTGGCCACCAAGTTTAACTTCTTCATCCACAACCTTGCTCAGCTACGATTCTCAGGCCTGCCAGCCAACGATGAGCCCATTCTGTCCTTCTCCCCAAAGACCTACACCCTCAAACAGGAGGGTCGCATTGTCCATGCGTCCATCTTTTCCTTCCAGAAGAGATACAACCCAGACAAGCATTATGTGAGTCCGTCTGTGTTACGTTTGTCCTGAAGGTTCTTATGTCTGTGTTTGAACTGGAGAATTACTGACACCTGCTGCTCGTCTCCTCTGCAGACATACGTTGTAAGGATCATGAGGGAAGGTCAGAACGAGCCTCAGTTTGTCTTCCGCACTTTTGATGAGTTTCAGGAGCTCCACAACAAACTGACCATACTGTTCCCCCTCTGGAAGCTTCCAAGGTTGGGCCAGTCATGTGACCTTCAGCCTCTTTATGAACTGTATATTTGCTGTTGTCATTTCCACAGAATACGTCACTTTATCAGTGTCTTGTCAAAGCTTAAGTCTGGTTATTGGCCTCTTCTCAGCTCAAGAACCCCACCCTTGTTCAGTGCCGCATAGACTCATACTGCTGAATTTCCAAACTATTATTGGTCACTTATGTCATGTCTGTTTGTCTTGAGTCAGAGTTGTTAACCTCTGTGATATTTAATACTTATGCTGTTGTTCACTTCCTGTCTCTAGTTTCCCTAATAAAATGGTGCTGGGACGCACCCACATCAAAGAAGTGGCGACCAAGAGGAAGTTGGAGCTCACAAACTATGTCCACAATCTGATGAGAAGCTCCACAGACGTCACTCAGGTAATTAACCACACACACACACACAAGTCTTGTATCTGTCCATGACCTAACGCTGTGCCCTGTGTTTATTTTATTCCAGTGCGATCTGATCTACACGTTCTTCCATCCAATTGCACGAGACGACAAGACAGAAGGTTTGGATGCCTCAGCCAGAGCACCAGGTGAACATCACCTCCTTTTATTCAGATGTTTGAAGCTTTAGTCACACTTCACACCCTGCTCTTGTGTTTCACCTTCTTGAAAAGTGTTACATTTCTGGGAGTGGGGAGTAAAACAAATTAGCTAATAAAAATCACTGACCAAAGTTTAACTCACATTTACATAATTACAATATACCTGTGTACATTGTAATTATAATTTAAACAGTTATTCTAGTGAGAAGGTTAGATTAATTCTGAACACAACATCAGGATTTCTAAGATGAGGTTTGTTTTACCCTGGTGTTTTGTTCTGAAGTTTCTGTTCGATTTCCTGATTTATTTACAGAACCTCCACTGAGCCCCACGGCTGGTCGGGTGGAGGGAGAGGTGAAGCTCTCCATCTCCTACAGGAACAGTACTCTCTTCATCATGGTGATGCACATCCGAGACCTGGTAATCACAGTTATGGTTTTGATCACTATTTTTTAATGTTTTTTCTCATCATATTAATATTTGACATGCTCCTTTTCAGGTTTCTGAAGATGGAACAGATCCCAACCCCTACGTTAAAACCTACCTGCTTCCAGATCCTCACAAGACTTCCAAACGCAAGACAAAAATCTCTAGGAAAACCAGAAACCCTACTTTCAATGAGATGGTCAGAAAATAATTTATTATGGCATAAACGTGTTCTTGTTGTCATCCAACAGTAATATGGCCACTATGGTGACAGTTTTACATCTTCATCCTCCTCTTTTCACAGCTGGTGTACAGTGGCTACAGCAAGGAAACCCTGGGCCTGCGGGAACTTCAACTGAGCGTGCTCAGCGCTGAGTCTCTGCGTGAAAACTACTTCCTGGGCGGCATCACGCTCAGGCTTAAAGACTTTGACCTCAGCAAGGAGACGGTCAAGTGGTACAAACTTACAGCCGTCCCCTACTTCTAACACCTGCCTGTCTTCCAGCTCCTTTCTGAAGCCTGACAAAGAGTCTCCAGACAAAAGTTGCGTTCACATTAAACTGACCTGAATTTAAGAACCTCAGCTTTCACTAGTAAAAAAACTAATAAAGAACTTGCGTTTTTTTTTCAGAGGAAATCTCAAATGCTTTTGTTAAATATTGGCGTCATCAAATCTGACGATTCCATGGGTGACTTTTTATCATGGATCACATGGTAATAGTCGGTTTTTGATCATTGTGGCAGGAAAACGCATTTAAACGTAACGCCTCAAAGACCCCTTGAACTTAGAGTTGTCATTTTGCCTTTAAAGTTATTCCCTTAAGAAATTAGTGCAAGAAGAACTCCTCAAGACAAAACAACGAAGGACTAGTGAACAGGTCATTACAAACCGAACCTGTTGTCCATCCTTCACTCTCTTTTCTCTCCCTCCGTAACAGATCAAGATTGTTTCTGTGAAAAACAATCTCTACTCATGTTGTCTTTTTCCTAAACTAGAACACAGAGAGCTGTAATGTTTTGTACATTTTGATATTAGAGGACCAAAACGACTTGCTAGCAGAAGAGTTAGGTAGATTGACCCATTTATTTTTTGAGAGGAAAAAATAGGGGCTAATTTTTACACTCTTGTTTGTTTGTTTTTTTTCTCCAAGAACAAGTGGGATTGTGATGGTTTCCTACTTTGCAACATATGACACTTCTTGGTAGATTGCTCCAAAAACAACGAATTACAGAAAATCAACATTGACCTTATGATTACCCAAGAATGTGCCAAAGTTTTAAAAAAAGAATGGAAATATCAAACCACTTTCCCTCACAGGGAACTGAACAGGGTGCCTTTGTCTGTGCTCACAATCTCTTTATAACCCTAACCTTGGCCTTAATGGTATGTATATTTTATTAACAATGTGATATGTCCTTATTAAAGAAAAATCTATATTCTGTATAGCTTTATCAGTAGGTCTTCTAAAGCAGGGCATAGAGGTGTAGATCATAACAGTGGACTGCCACAAAATGCACACTACTTGTTGTTTCTTGTGACATTACTTGACAGCTTTCACACAACACACTTTGAAAAGGGGACTTGTATCATAAGGTGGAAGTTAGTGTTTTGTCCGTGCTCTGGTTGTAAAGCTTGTGTTTGCCTCCTGATTTTAAGTTAGCTGAGGTATTTTCTTCAGGTGGTTTTAAACCACATTGCAGACTGCAGCAAATCCCAGTTTAAAAACTGAGAATACTGTAAGTGTTGAGTCTGGAGATTAGGCTGTGGTGGTGTAATGACACCATGCTAACAAAGCAGTTATCAACAACTCCCTAAACTGCCTGAAAAAATCTAGTCCAATCAGATTTTACAACATTGCGAACACAAACTGCCCGTAGATCAGTGTTGACGTGGCAAGCTGACGGTGAAACGGTTTTGAAAAGGGAACAAGGTCCTGAGCAAGAACACACCTCTCTGTGCTAACTATAAAATTAAAGTTGTTAATGTTTAATAAAGAAATTTTGATGAATTTATCTGAGAATTTTTTAAGAGATCTACGTGACGATTATGATTTAAGAGCAACACTTACATTATAAATATTAGTGACTTGATTCACTCTTTTAGTGACTGTACAAAGAAAACAGAGTTTGTATTAACATGGCCAGTTATTTATTCTTAATTGGTTACCTTTAACCTGAATGGATCTGTGTGTACTGTAATTCCTCTTTCCTAAAGCAATTAAATGTTTTTGGAACAAGTATTGTGACTCTTGGCTTTTCTTTAAAATGTGTTGACCTCTATTTGAACAGTGTTTTTAGGTTGTATGAAATAGGTACTTTTAGGTAACTGCTCCAGCTTTACAAGCATATATCAGCAGTAATCTGTCTTCAAAGTTTGTAATTTAATGTTATATTTATTTTAGTTATAAGTAACTAATGGGATTCAAAATTGTACCTGTGAAATGAATGCACTGTTGTTTCAGCACATGCTACAACTAAACTCTATTATATGTTTATATTTTTGGAAACTACATATCAAATATTTAGTGATTACTGTGGGTTACAAGTGTACAGTCTTTTTTCTGTTTATCTATCGTTGGTTATTATAACAGCATTGTGTCCAACATGGCGACCTCTAGAAAAGGCGTCTGGTGTACAGTATATCAACAAATTGGTATTCTGTACTGCTGATAACTTTTTTTCCACTGATCAGGAATGTTAGCACAATTTTATCCACCTGTGCACAGTACGATTTAGGAACTTGAGGAAAAAACCGTGAAAACAGCTTTTCTCTCTTTTACCGTATCCCAGCGTCAACAGGAGTCTTTGTGCGTCATTACGCCATTTCCGGCGCAAGCGCAAAATACCGTTCCTTGTCGCGTGTGCGGCCTCTCTTCCTCTACCGCCATCATGGGTCGCATGCACGCTCCCGGGTGAGCTCTGGTTTTGTCGATAAAAATGTATTTTTTATGCTGTCAGACAAGCTGTTATTAATTTTTAAACTATACTACGCTATAATGAAGTTTATAAAGGGGGTATAAGCCCTAAAAGTCAACACAGACGCGTTAAAAAGGTCTAAATCACCCACTCTGCTACAGTTACCTCCGTCTGACGCTAGTTAGCATTAGCTTTCGGCTCACAGAGCGTTCTATTTTATTCTACAATGTCATTAGGTACCTTTTCGTATTAAAAGACGATTGTAGTATAATTATTATGCTAGCTTGCTGTATGAAAACCTAGAATTTTAACGCAGACACTTTATTGCGGTTAGTGGCACAGCGTAATGCTCGCACCACCAGGCCCACGTTAAAGAATTTGATTGCAAATCGTTAGTATTCCTTCTCCATGTAACTCATCTCTCCTTCATTTTTACAGAAAGGGCTTGTCCCAGTCAGCTTTGCCTTACAGGCGCAGTGTCCCCACAGTGAGTACATATTTCTCAGCCTTTGTGTAATGTAGCTAAGTGTCATTGGCGAAAGTATTAGCGATTAACTCGTTCAACGAATTATATCTGCAGTGGCTGAAGCTCACCTCCGACGATGTCAAAGAGCAGATCTTCAAGTTGGCCAAAAAGGGTCTGACCCCTTCTCAGATTGGTAAGATTACTTACTGATTGATGATGCTTGAACACTTGAACTTAACCAATGCGAGCTGGTTTATTGATCATGTACTGTATGACTCGGTTGGCTAGCTATTACACAGAGTCGTTTACGTTAAACTAGATGTTTTTGTCATGATTTTGTTAGAAAAAGCCACTTGACAACAAGTAATGGTAGCGTTACATTGTTAAGTCGCTTGAATGGTTTAAAGTCTGGCATTGGCCATTTGAAAGATGAACTTGTTTATATTCATTATTAATCTTACAGTGTGCAACTTTTTTTGTTTCATTTTGGTTCAAGTTGGCTGGTTTTACATAAGTCATTGTTGCACTGCTCATTTTTTGTTAAGGTGTTATTCTGAGGGATTCCCATGGTGTGGCCCAGGTTCGTTTTGTCACTGGCAACAAAATCCTTAGGATCCTCAAGTCCAAGGGTCTGGCCCCTGACCTGCCCGAGGACCTCTACCACCTCATCAAGAAGGCTGTGGCAGTCAGGAAGCATCTGGAGAGAAACAGAAAGGTTAAAAAAAATCTAATATGTATATTCATGCCTGTTTAGGACCTACGATACAACTTAAAATACAATTTTGGGAAGTTATTCCATTTTGAGTTGTAAATCTAAAGGGTTAATGTTGAAACTTGAATTATTTCTTCCATTGTATAAACTGTCAATGGATGGTGTCAGATTTTTTGGTTTACATACAGGGAGTTTGTTAAACAAAGGTTAATGTAAATGCGTCTTTTTCCATTAGTGATGTAAACATAAAAATATTTATTTTTACTAAGCCAGAAATATGTGGATTTGGAAGAAAAACATGAACATCTTTTCTGAACAATTTCGTCTCAGGACAAGGATGCCAAGTTCCGCCTGATTCTCATTGAGAGCAGGATCCACAGGCTGGCCCGTTACTACAAGACCAAGAGAGTACTGGCCCCCAACTGGAAGTAGTAAGTATTTGTTCTGCTCTAGAACTTTGTTCTGTTAAACTCTCTTACTGTTGGGTATCTGTGATTGATCCTAGAACTATAACTGATGTTTTGTGAAAGGCACAATTCATTGTCCTGCTCTGCCTCATTGTAGGAGCAGCGATATTTCTTTTGTGCTATAAAAATGCTGGAGGTAAATTAGCAGAGCGGCTTCTGTGTGCCACCTCTGCCAGTCCCCTTCACACAGTCAGATTACACTTGAACATATCACTGTTACTACATACTACATATTTATGTTGTATCCCATTAAAAAAAACACTACATTGGGTCTGTAGTTACTGTAGTGTTGGGGGAATCTGTTTACATTACAGCTTTGTGGAAACAGTGGATGTAACGACAGTTGTACATTTCCAACAAATGTCTGCTCAGTTTGTACAGTTCTATTCCTAAAGTTTCTGTTTTTTCCTTTTTACAGTGAGTCCTCTACAGCTTCTGCTCTGGTGGCATAAACATTCACTTTTTTGGATAAATAAAAAGAATTTAAATTGAATGCGTGTTGTTTTTCTTTTTAACTGTTAAAGAATACTACTTTATGGACTAATAAAATGACACCACCACTATTTACAATATTCCTAATTCTTAAATGAATGCACTATTGATTTGGCATAGACAACATGAACATGGCATACAGATGAGCGTGTTACATAATCCAAGACAGGAAAATGCCTGAATGGTTAACACTGAAAAGTGCACGGATTCCCCTGGTTATGGAAGTGACTTTTGATTCCGGTCTATAATAAAATCTGGTTCCTTATTCTCTCATCTGGTGATTATTATTGTCTCAGTCGATCACAGGTCAAGAGTGTTCTGTATAGTCAGGTTTAATTCCCTGAGCCACTGGTCAATGATGACATCCGTGAATTACAGTTGTCACCATCTCACCTCTACACTGACGGGAGGTTTTATTTTGCTGAAAACATCAAACTACAGCTACAAATTATCCCCTGAAAAATGTTTAATTCCTATAAAAACTAACTTTAGTCATCAAACACTTTTTATACCAAGTTTTATTAAATTAAATGTTTGTTTTAAATAATCAATTTAATTAATCAGTTTTCTTGTAGACATGCCTTGTTTTTCTTCTAATTTGTTTCTTTTTCCAGTTCAAAGATTCGGGGGAATTGCCAAACTACAAATTTCAGTTTTTGCTGCACTTTCATTTTTGATCATTAAATACTTTCATGTTAAGTTCAATGTAAAACACCATGCTCATTTCACTTTTCTTACGACATTATTACATTTTTAACAATAGGAGGCGCCCTTTACGGTTTCCTTGTAAGGCAGGGATCTTTTAATCTTTATTTAAACTATAAACAAATTCACAAAGACATGACGTGACGTCGACCAGTGTGCTGCTCTGATCCTACCACAAGGGACCAGAACCAAGTAAAAGCCTAAACAAACACACGAGAGCAAACTAGAAACATAATGTTCTCAGTTAAGATCACGTGAGTAAGTGTAATCTTTCCTTATATTAACGTCGATAGTTATTGTCGATGACGAGTAAATATTTACTACCCATTCGAAGTCGGGAAATTACGGGCACTTTCCTTCCGTCACATGCTTCGTAATGTGACTTTGATGATTGACAACCACAGTGTCCAATCATGGCGCGGCATGACGTCAGACTTGTTATATTTTAAGAAGTCTTACGCCACCACAGTAACGTACACCATTTTTGACTACAGCGACAACACACTACAGAGAACCATGGCGAGAATACTCAGCGATATTTGACGAAGCACAGCGACAAAAATGGCATTGACCTGCCGGAGAATGAAGCGACCGCACTTGGACGACTGTCTGTCACGCACTAATACACGGAATCTGGTGGTTTTCGACGAGGAATATCAAAATACGTGAGGATTATTGTTAATTCAGCCGCCATAGATCTGAAGAGGGGAAGGGAGAAGTGAGAGAAATGGCTTCGACCGTTGGTGCTGATAAGGTTTGTGGAGGAACGGCGGTGGAGAGGTTCGGCAGCGGAGGAATGGCGCTTCTCCCCTGGACTAAACAGATGCTGACCGTGGTGTGGGAACAGCTCCGGCTGCTTCTTCAGGTCATTTACTACACGTTTATGTCAGGTAAGCAGTCTAAATTTCGATTTCGGTCAATTGTTTCTAAAGACGGCGGGACTTAAAGTGTCACACAGTGTCACATAGAATGGCCTGTGCGGTGATATATTAATTGATATCGACCCTGTTTTGTTTACGGTCCTTGCGTGGAGTAGCTTTTCGTGAAAACGTTCCGTGCTTTTCTATTAATGACGCAGAACATATCGCTATATCACAGGACAAAAAGTAACTTTCTTGTCACGGAACAGATAATTAGAAATTACATTTTTGTAATTCTCCTTATTTTATTCATGCACATGTTGTAGAATACACATTTTTACACAATACACAAGCATTTTGACGCTGCTTTTATTTCACTTTTGTTGTATCCAAGTGGTTTTATATTATATTAAAATAAATAAATAATAAAATAGTCCTAAAAAGGAACATTTTTTTATTTGTTGTCTTTTTTTAACAGTTTTTCAGATGTTCAGCTATATATTAAAAATAAATAAAATAAAATAGTCCTAAAAAAAGCGCATTTTACAATTTAATAATTTCTAGGAACATTTTTTTTATTTGTTGTCTTTTTTTTAACAGTTTTTCAGATGTTCAGGTTTGAAGTTCACCTGAGAATCACAGATGAGAATGGGCAACACATCCAGCACATGAGTTCAGCAACAAACCCATCGGAGTCCTTTCTGTTCACCTCGTTGTTTGACGGAGAAGGTGGAGTCATGGTTGGGGGGACGAATCACTTGTCAGACTTCTGCGCAGATGTTAGCGAGACCTTCTCTGGGAAATCCACTGCTGAGGCCCTGTTGTCCAGTCTACGTGCTGATGACATCTGCTGTGGACTCGTGGATGACTTTGTGTCTAGAACAGCTGGTAAAGACGACGGAATCCTTCTTGTAGATCAAGCTACCTGGAAAATGGGCTTCCCTGGTGACTGGAACATCTTCGTGTCAAGTGGTGACGGCTTGAGTTCAAACGAGACCTGCCATAACAGTGGTGAGAAGTTCTTCCAACAGAATTTCACAAAAGCTAAACATTTCAAGGAGGATACATCTGAGGAGGATAGAAGCTGTAACTGGAGTAGTGAGGAAGACCAGAACATAGTAGAATTTGACAGTGAAGAGAGTAAGGCCCTTTGGGAATCTCTGTCAAAGTCTAGTGATCCCTACAACCCCTTCTTTTTCTCTGCCTGTATTTCAACCAATACAGACATGGGGGGAAACAAAAATGAAGTAAAAGACAGTGCCAACACTGACACTATGTCAGTGGGCAAGGCCAGCGAGGAGAGGTCAGGGCCTCGAGGCCTAAACATCTGGATCAGTCGCTCTGACAGTGAGAGCAGCTGGACCAGCTCCGGCAGCTCCAGTCCTGACATAGACAAAGAGGAGAGTGAAAGACTTTGGGACTTCTTCAGCAGTCCAGCAGACCCCTACAACCCCCTGTGTTTCACTGCATGCACAATCAGCAGCACATCTCCTCCATGTCCCACCACCACAGTCTCTAAAGCACAGACCTCACTGCCTGTACCTTCCACCAAGTCTGATTCGGACGATAAGGAAAGCAGTTTCCCTCCTTCATCTGAGGATGAAGGATGGAAAGAGGATGAAGAGGAGCAGCTTTGGAGATCCCTCTGCCCAGACAACGACCCGTATCACCCGCTCAACTTTCAGGCCTGCCTTCAGAGCTCCCAGTCAAAATCACGACAAGTTGAGAAAGATTGTGACTATCCTAACGTTCGTCGCAGAAAAAGGTCGCCTACTAGGGGCAAAAACTATAAAAAAGATCAGAGTACAAGCATAAAACACACACCCAGCAAGCCTATTCTGCCAGAGAGGCAGATAAAACGACACTCCCATCCAGAAAAAACACTGGTGCCTTGGAAAAGACCTGGACAAACGCCTCATTCTCATCCAGAAGATCAAAATGAAAGCAAAACCAGCCGTAGTCAGAAAAAGGTAATTATTATTTAAATAAAAATAGTTTTAAAAGTAGCGAAAGAACCCTGAATTTTTTGCAGTTTATGTATAAAGAGTCTCATACTAAGGAGATCTCAATACTTTGTTTGTACTTTGCTAACTTCACATCAAAACTTTTAACAATGGCCAGAAATTACCAAATATGTTTTCACTAAATTATCTAGTGAATTAATATGATTCTAGATAAAAAAAACCGAAATATAAAATAGATATAACAAAACAAAAAAACTAGAATATTTGAGGAATTTATTGATTTTTCTTTTTTTTTCTTAAATATACAATAGATATAACAAAACAAAAAACTAGAATATTTAAGGAATTTATTTTCTTTTTGGTATTTAAGCATTTTCAAAGATGTTACACCTTTTTCACAACACGCACACTGTTCTGAACCGTGTGTCATTTAGAGTTGTTTTGTGTCAGTTAGCAACCCTGCTCGTTGCTATGACTAAGATGGGTCATGTGACCACATTGAGTCAGCAGAGAGTTTAGCTCCCACTTAGACTAATGGAGTTGCAGCAGCATTACTAAGTCATTTTAACACCATTGTTCCACGTTGCATCAGATTTTAAAACAACCCCACGGCAGAACAAAACAAGTCATGATGTAAATTTAGGCCTAAGTTCATTCAGAGAGCTCTCCTTATAGTCTATAAGCCAATTTCAACACAGATTTCTTCTGTTCATTTGGGTCAGTAGCTAAGTGCTAATGTAAAACAATCAATCAAAATAATATGGAAGTGTTGAATGAGTCCATCCCTGTAACGGAACAGGTCTGATCTCTCTGTTTCTCTGGATTTAGGTTCGTTTTTCCCCTCTTGTTCAAGTCCACGTAATGAGGACGTGGTCATTTGCCCACCAAGCATCTCGCAAAGGACACTGGGATGTGTTGGTCAGAGATCGTGAACGATTCCGAAGGCGGATCCAGGAAACAGAGGAGGTCATTGGCTGCTGCTTCACCCAGGCCCACAGAGAGAAGATGCAGGCGTACCTGGACGGTGCCTTGACATGAAGGATAATTTAAAAAAACAAACCTTTGGAACACTGAATAGTTAATTTCCTTTTATGGATGAGAACTGGTGATTGGTTGCAATGCAACAGTGTTTTTGATTTAGGCCAATTAGAAAATTTGATGTTAGGCCAATTTTTACTGTTTGGTGTGATGTTGAACAACTTTGTACCTCAAAAGGTTTTATACATTGAGTGATTGTTGCACTGGCTGACACTTTTCTCATTGTAACCTCAACATCAATTAATGGAATGTTGTTTTGTATGCCTTATTTATATTTATATATATATACATATATATATATACATACATATACACACTGACCTAGTAATGTAACCTGTGTATTTATGCCCCATGGAGCTTGATCTTATTTTTTAAGTTTGTGTGTCAGTGTGTGGAAGATAAAACCGACCACAGCAGTGGAACTAACAGTAGATGATGACCATTAACAGCAGAGCTTTACAGTACAAAGTGTTTTATTTAAGCATGATGGTGGATATGTAGAAATCCTGGTGCGATGTTCGTGTTTTTCCTTTGATGTTTGACTTCCTGTCTTGTATTTGAATTTGCATATACAGGCAGTTAATAGGTGGCCTTTTTAGCACTGAGATGGAAACATGTTTTTATTATTATATTCACTGCAAAGATTCAAACACTGTCTGGTGTAATTCACTTCATGCAGCTGGAAATATGTCAAACATTTTGTAGCAAAGAAAAAAAATCAGTAGGTTTTGTCAAACAATAAATGTTTTAAATGATCAATTTACTACAATGGTCTTTTTCTGATCAGTGTTTAAATAAAACCCATCTCAACTGTTAAACTCCTGCTAAAACTCCATGACACACTAGTTGCTGGAAAAAATTCAAACTACAAAATCAGTTTCACATGTCACCTAATTTGGACACACCCAGTGACGCTCTGGGTGAGGTTTCTGCTCAGACAGACCTGGCTGGTTTAGTAAAGGGTGAACAGGTTGAAAATAACTCAGCAGGTCAGTATTGACCTGTTACCACAGCTAAAAATCTGTGTTAAATACCAAAAAAGACACTAATCTGACTACAAGAAGTCCCCTGTAATTTTAAGGCTCCCTCTTCCTAATCCCTCCTCCTCACCTTGCACACGCTCACTCAGGAGGATTTAATTTCCCAGGAGGCTCCGAGTCTCCATGCAGAACCAGCGGTGAAAGACTGCTGCAAGACAAGGGTTAAAAACACACAGTATGATGAAATGAGTTTCCTGAGGGATGAAATCAATTAACAGGTACACACACAGACACACACACACACACAGGATGGTGCAAAGGTGAGCAATCGCTGACACTGCTTGTTGTTGTACCGACCAGCGCTGGGTCTTTTGTTGACAACCCACCTGCAGAAAATAAGAATAAATATTCATGTAATTCATCTCCTGCTGGTGCTGCACATTCACAGTGAACCAGAATGGAACCAAAAATAACAATCTGAAAACGTAAATAGTCAATGACCGTGTTGCCTTGTTACTTTATGAATAATGATAATCTTTGCATTGAAAACATCCTTGAATTTATAGCACTGTTATTAAATGAGCATCCTCAATGAAGACTGCAAGTGAATGTTAGTGGTCTGTGATTGTTTTACTGCAGTCACACATCTTTCAGCCATGTTCTTAGCAACTGACGGTTATTTCTAGCACATAGTTCAACTTGTGTTTGGTGATATTTTGAATAAATATTTAAAATATGGGTTGTTGTTCTTTACTAAACATTTTTTGTAAATACATGAAGCATTGTGTGACATTTGTGACTTAAAAAATTTAGAAAAACTTAATACACTCTTTTTAGTGTCAAGTCGCCAAATTCTTCCTCTAACACTAGAGGATGCCCAAGTACCATCGGTGGTATGCAGACCACAGTTTGAGAACCACCATTATTAAAGCTGAAAATATTTAGTTTACTTGCTCTTCACAACCCAATATTATTCCACTTCTGATGCTGTCATTGCCGTTCTTGCGTCACCAGTACTGTATGTTGTTTACACCTTATGAAAACATGTGTTTTTCTCCATGATGCAAGACCCGGGAGCTGCTTTCATCAAGAGCATCTGTAAATGCTCTGGCTTTGTTTCAGAGGCTAATGATGTTGACATGTATTTGGTTGTGAGGCAAAAACTGTGAACCGTGAGGTCAGAGCACTGCTGTTGGTGTCCTTTGTCCATCTGACCTGTGGGCTGGACCAACACCTGGTGCTTCCATCATTAAATCTCCTCAATGATTTGGCGTCATCGTGGTCCAGGACCTGTGACGCCCCAGTTAGAACCTGAATCCACTGCCTCGGTGACCACTTCTCCTGCTCTCGTCTTCACTCTCTTTTTGGACCCTCTCCTCATCTCCTCCTCCTCCTCCTCTCTTCCTCCCCCGTATCATTAACTCTGTGGCCCAGACAACCTCGTCTCTAAGCAACAGGCAGCAGCGAGGAGGCTTTGAAAGGATTGCAGGTGATTGCAGCAGCAACAATAGAATCAGCAGCAGTGGAGGCAGTGGGACACACACACACACACACCGACACACACACACAGGCGGCTGCCCCTCTTATTCAGCTGCCACAGACCTGTGTCTCCTGGGTCACAATTAGCCGATGATGCAACCTGGCAGCTATTGTGTCTGATGTCAACTCGTTCAGTCTGAGGACATGAGACGCAAATGGCAACAAAGCGAGGGTCCGGGGTTTTACAGAGTCTGTGCAGAAGGTGGAGATCAGCTGCACACTGTTGAACACCTGCTGTTTAATACAGTGTAAATGATACAGCCTGGTCACACAGTGGAGGAGTGGTTAGCTCTTTTGCCTTACAGCAGGTCTTGTTTTTTTATGGAATTTTGGAGTAGAATACTACTAGTATTCTAGTTTCAGTCCAAACACATGCAGGATCAGTCAGGATCATTAGTACTCCTCCCTCACCCTGTGCCTGTTGCTTACCTTCCTCTTCCTCTTTTTCTCAGGGTATTATGAACCCATGTAAAAGCCCTTAGCAGGACGGTACAGTACACAAGGCACGAAAATATCTATTTATAATCGTCTCCTCCTGTAACGCTGCCAAATGTATTTTTAAAAATTGAGCGTTGGAAGCTAATAATAACCCAACTCAGAATATCACTCAGACATTCAGTCAACAACTTGTGGTCAAGTTAATCATGAGGATGTGCTATGCTATGGTTAGCAGGCTAGCACAGAGCGCCATTGTCCTGAGTAAATATTCGCATTTGCACAAAACATATTAATTGTTGTAATACTAATACTTCTTATTTTGGGTTTTATTGGCAGCTCTTTAACTTTAGAGTTCCTTTACTGCCACCTATAGGTCTAGGTATACACTAGCTAGTAAATATTCCGCCCAGAAACATCACAATATCGTACGGAAAAAAAGAGAAAGAGAAATAAAACAGATCCCTGCTGATAAACAATATTCTTTTGTACTGTCTTGGAGGTTCGCACGCAAGTTTGATGAAAAAAAAAATCTCAGCCATTGTTTATTTGAACACAACATACCGTGAGAGATGAATGTCTTTGACTATAATCTCATGTCTCCAGAAACCAGCTGCGGCCGATAATGAGCCAAAGCCGTGTGTCCTCGACTCACAGGAGTATTACATATGGAATTGTCAGGACGACAGAGCAGCTAATAATTCATACAGATATACGTAAGTCATGTAACCCTTGCATCACACCAAAGATGTTTCAAAAGCTTTTATGTATGTTTTTCTTTTTTTAATAATAATTTTATTATATATTTTCTAAAAATGTACGTTATTATGGAATTGGATATCACCTGCGTCGTGACTACAGTTTAGTATTTATCTATTTTTAAAAGTCTGGTGGTGTAGCTTTTGTTACAAACAAGAATACACAGCATCGCTGTTGTCTACAAATCAAAAGAAAGTAGCAACATTGTTCAGAGAAAAATGTCCCTGACTGCGTGACTTTGCTGCCCTCCTGTGGTCACAATAAGAATAGCATTTTCAACAAAAGATTTCCATAATGACGTCATCACCGGAATAGAGTTAAGATTATTACTTTGTATTTTTGTTATTGCTTTTAGATTAGATTTGCACCATTTGAAGGCTGAACATACACACATTTTTTTAATTATTTCAAGATTTATCTTTCTTTATTGTTGTCCTTTTTCTCTTTCAAGTGAACAACTTCCACATTTTACATCTTTATTGTGGTGTTTTTAATCTTCTGCTGCATTTTTTTTATTTATTTTTTTTGATAATTGTGCAACAAGGATACGACTTAGGATACGTAAATAAATAGGCAGCATTTTCACATCTGGGCTTCTCTGGCTTCACCCATGCAATGAGATCCAGGGTTTGAGACAAGAGACAAACTGTTTGTCTTTCATATAACCTTAGGACAAGTCCATATGGGTCCAATATCTTTCTGTGACTTCTGCCATTTCTAATAATGTTTTCTCAGTTTGTGTCTTTGTTTTCCTGTTTACAACCCCCCCCCCTCCCACCCCCACATATTCTAGTTGTTGTTTTTCTCATCTAACAGCCTGCAGACAATGAGGATCAAATATATTTTATTTTTTCACTTCCTGTGTGGCCCTGGAGACCTGTAGGGCTTTATTGAGGAGGTAACAATACGAGGCGTGTTGGCGTTATTGGCTTTTGGGGAGTTTGATTTGTTGTGAGTCATAAAAAGTGTTGACTTAAATAAATGTCACTGATATTGTCTTGTCCTCTGTCGCACTTTCTGCAGTTAAATTCATGTTATTCCTCTGACATAGACTTAAGAGAGGCCATTGAGTTATATTTGATTTACCAGCTGATTTATTGTGGCTTATGTACGGGTTTTATTTGTAAATTACACAGTAAGTGGCAGCATGAAAAATCTGGATTCAACCAGTGGTGAAGAAAAAGAAATAATGAATTAGTCAAACTGCATGAACAAAAGGTTACAAAAACATTTTTGAGATGATGAATAAATATGGACATTTGTGTTTAACCACATTCATCATCATATCTTCTACTTTTACTTTAGTTGCATACCACAGTGAGGAAACACAGTGTGTCGAAATCCAAATTCTCAATCAATGACAGGATTCTGGGATTAAAGGTGAGCAAATTAATGTGTTATTCAACATTCCTGCAGCCTGATGGTACTGTACGCTGCCCTCTCAGTGTGACGTCCCAGCCTGTGTCCTTTTCTTTTTTCTGAGCAGTTTGCTGGTGTTTCTTTCTGGACAGCTGGCTGTAGTTTTTTTGGGTTTTTTTTTTTTTAAGCACAAAGATCATTATATCCCTATGCGTTACTTCCTGTAAGTCCTGGACAATGAATGCCAAAACCAAAACAACAAAAAGATTCATTGGTGACTTTCAGAGTATATTCAGCGTTTCTGTTTACCTACAGTCAGTACTGTTTGTCTAACTGCTGTCAGGGGTTTGTACCAGTCACGCTCTCACTCAACTCTCCTTCAGGTGATAAACACCGCTTTAATTCAGGAAGTCTGAGTCAGGAAGGGATGAAGCAGAGTTTAACCCGCGGCCTTTTGTAAAGTTACAAGGTCCTGGAACACAAGGCCGTGTGTGATTCACTGCTCATCTACATGAGATACAGAGAGAGAGAGAGAGAAAAAAACAGAACAAAACAAAGTGAGGAGTCTTTGTGTGAGTTTCCCCGGGTGTCTTTGCCACCTGAGATTTTTGCAGCTCTGCCAATGAGTGTTGACGCAACATGGACAAAGGATAAGATTCCTGAATGGTTGAAAGCCTTGGTTACTGATTCCAACCGCAGACATGACTGTGTCTTAAAGAGATGTAGCTTAGTGTTTCACTGCACAGTTGTCCTTCTACTTCCTCGTCTCTGTGAACAACAAACCACACTCAAAATAAAAACAGGCTGAATCATCCTGATAATGCTTCAGAATTCTGTCTTTGTCTCTGGTAAAATAAATCACTGTAATACAATCATTCAATAGAAATTGCAAAACAATTGCAACAACATCAATAGTTTAAGTAGAGGTTGATGTGTGATTTATGTATGTATATGTTTCCACACTTTCCTCTCATCATATGTGCCATATTTTCAGATTTCATTATTTTCATGTGCAATTCCTCATCTATCCATCCATCGATCCATCCAGATGTTTGTGTGGCACTTTTCAGACATTTCAGACTTCGAATTTTCCATAAGGGGGCGCTGTTTATTCACTCTCAGAACAACAACTGACTTCAAAATGTTAAAAGAGCAGGAGCTGCAGGTTTTTATTTTTCCTGTAGGGGGCGCAGGTTACATTGGACCTGGTGTTAAAGGTCAGAAACCCCAGGCGGTAGAACTGTGCACATGATTAATGCCGTTAGATCTGGTATCAGGGTTTTTGTGTGTGTGTGTGTGTTCATTGTGTGAAACACAAACCTGTTGTTGAGACACTTCACTATTATAGTATTATAGCCTGCTGTGACGTTTGTGTTGGAAACACATGAAGCTTAGTTTTTGCTGTTTGTATTTATTCCTAACACGAGCCAAAGAAAGTTAACGTCCTAAAGAAAATACCTCAAAATGTCAGGTGCACTCTGTCTATTTTCTGATATTGATCCAGATCTGGTCAAAGGTTCGTCCTACATCCGGCTTCCTGTGTATAGACTCTGTTTCTGTCACACATCAGAGCAGGATCATTGAGATACAGACACAACAGGCGCAGAGGGACAGATTAAAACACCCACTGTCTACTGTCTGCACAAACACACTGTTCTTTATTCCACTTTCATTTGAGCAAAACAATAGCTGTGGTACAAATGTCACACATTTCCATCCAGATGAGACCATAACACTTTGCCTCCGCCACAGCCCAAAGGATTCAGCCTGCTGTGCCGGGGCAGGCGCTGGAGGAAAAGAACCGTAATTCACTGACAGAAGTCAACAAGACAGAGATAAACACAATGGAATGAAATGTCTGGGTGGAAATAAAAAATGTCAAAATGATGGAAAATGGGGAAATAAAATGGCCAGTGTGACTGGGGAAATGGAAGACAATCCAGATCAGTGCGGTTCAGGAAATTAACTCAGGGGGGGAAGTGACAGCAGCAATCAGCAGGAGACTACATTTACGTGTCTGTAGGCATTTATGCTGATATGATGACGGATTAAATATGGGGGGCGTGGGAGCAGAGGGTGGGCATAGTCAGGATTTGATCTCATTAGACCAGAAATAGGAAAAACAAATGTAGTTTATTGAGAATAGATTCAGTTACTGTAAATATGCAGGAGGAGGGATTCAGATGATTTCTGTTTATCCATCCATCCATCATCCATCCATCCATTCGTCCATCTATCCATCCATCCATAAGTTGTCTGGTTCATTCAAAGTGGATCAAGAAAAGACCAATGTCATCAGCCTGTGATATATGACCCAGAGAAGTAAAACGCCTTACGTGATGTTAACTCGTACGTTTTATCAATGCAATCATTTGGTTTGCAAATGTGTACCTTATAGTCAGCAGCTTCCACACACAGTGGTAATATTAGCTCCATAAATGCTTGGCAGTGGTGTCACAACCAGAGAGAATAAGAACTCTCTCATTGTTATGTTGTTGACATAGTCTGTTCACATGTATCCACTGGTATAGACCAAGAAAACACACACACACACACACACACCACAAAATAGTGGCAAAGAAAAGTCAGCAGATGTTAAATAAGGTCAGGTGCTAGTGACACCCACATGGTTAAGCTGAATCAGTTCAGTTCGAGCCACACCTTTTAGGGATCGTATGATGAGCTGACAGTGTAGAATTTCCACCAAAAATATGAGCAGGTTTATTTTTTTACAGGTCATCAGATGTTCAACTGGATTTTTTTGGCTTTTTAAATTTGGGTGAGGTTTTCAAAACCAAGGCACCATCTAAAAACGCTCTTGAAATCAAATAAAGTAAATCATAGTTAACAACATCACAACTCAGTCATCGTCAAAATGATCAAACATGATTCTATACTTGCACATTAGAAAAACCCTTGATATAGAAAGAAGCTTTAAAAAGTCAGTATAAAGATTTATTGAAAAAGTAAAATGTAAAATTGAGGGATTCAAAATTTAAAGAGTTTACAGTTTTATAGCTCAGTGTTACCCAAAGAGAGGTCAAAGTTCACAAAGCAAGTCAAGCTAGATTAGCTATAATAAAATCAAACTAAGCTGAAAATCTTGGTTCCACAGTGTAGCAGTTAGCGCGCCTGCATCCATTTAACAGCAACTTTAAATTATAGAAGTAAAAAACAACTTTAGGTAACTGTACTATTTAACAACCTTTGACCTGTTCTTTCAGGTTGTTTTTCTCTGGACTCATCTGAAATACCAGTGTGTGTCTCTCCATCACGACGTCAGCCGTGAACGAGGAACATGCTGATCACATCAACATGTCTTCCTGGTCTCCACACTGCATCCCACGCTTTTGGAAATTATTGTTTTCAGAGAGGAAATTCCTGCTGAATGAACTTCACAACAAGGTGAGCTGTGTGTGTTCCCAAGAATGGATTTGAAAATAACAGGGCTGCGAAGACAACGTGCCAGGATGGTGTCACGAGCACGCCACCACATGCCTTCAGGATATGGAGTCTGGGTGGAAAATGAGATTCCAGTGAGCTCAGAGTTCCTGATGAGTGAGTAAGAACAAACTGTCTGACAAGTGACAGAGGCTCCTATTTACATTAATGAGCCACTGAGGAAAACCAACACGGATGTGTGTGCTGCACGTAAACACTGCAGCCTGAGTGACACACAGAGCTGCTACAATCACCAACTGTAAGGTCTGAGGAGATTTCCCTCTTTATGCTCTTTTTAATTCCCCAATAATAACTATGTTAGCTTGAATAGAGTCAGCGAAAACACCGTTGTATCACAGAAACACTCTGTGGTTAAATAATAAATGGTGGAAAGTTGAAGCAGTAAAAGTGACAAACTCCTGTTATTTCAACATCAGTCAATGACTCTGTGTTCTCTTTTGACTGCGTTCAACCTTAAAGCTATGTTAGAATTAAAATGAAAGTCAAAATAAATCAATAATGAATAAAGCTTTTCTTCAAAGGAAGTCACGCTGGAAGTGAAAACGCAGCCAACTTTCTAGCTTGAGGAGTAGAATGCAGTTCTTTATGAATAACTTACTACAGTAACTCTGTTAGGAAACATAACAACTCAGACACAGTTTAGACTCCATTTTGCCATTGATAATAACTGATTGACATAATGTTTAAATGGCAAAATCATCCTTGTGATGCCATTTGTTCATCGTGTTGATGGACAACCAGAGGTGTACAGGGCTAACGTACGGACGTATCCCCAGAGAAAACCTATATAACACACAGGTGGAATATTAAAAATATTAGCCAAACGATTTTAGATTGAAACTATTAGCTAAGGTCTATTAGGCGCCACCAGCTTCTAGCTAATAACAAAATAATTATTTCTTAACGTTTTTATTATTTGAATTTATTTATATTATTAGAATGATACAAGAGAGATACATGAACACACAACTCTATAGTCACCACTTCACGTTCTATTTTCCCACAGCATTGGCTTTACTCACAGTTTTCTCACAGTGAAAGCTGTTACGATGCCTTCAATGTCTGTAGGAAACGTTGAAATATAAAACTAATCAACGAGTCGTGAACAAGTTCACGTTTCACTTTTTGAAAATTAGTAACATTTTAATGCTATAATCAGGGCAGCAATGATTATTAAACAAAAAACAAATAGTAGAAAATGTAATACAGTATGCTTTTACGAAATAAAACTGACCAAAAATGCTTTATGCTGATTCAGGGTTATGTGGCTTGTACAAAAGTTTTCACAAGACACGTCGCTCAAATATGTTGACGACCATTGGCCATTTTGGTTCCGGCTTCGATCCTTATATGTACGGACTTCAGCTGCGTCCCTGAAGGCATCACCGTGCTTGGCGTAGCGGTGTTCACTGAGCTCCCGGGAGAGACTGTGCAGAGGGAATGAGGTGAAGAGGACTGGAGAGCGGATCATGGCGGCGCCTGACGGGCGGGACACCCTACCTGAGCACTGGTCGTACGGTGTGTGCGGGGACGGGAGGGTCTTCTTCGTCAAGTAAGTGCCACAATGAGCGCGTCACGGCACCGTGTTCTGTCGCTCTGGCGGCAGTTGTTTCCTTCCCGGTAGTGTAACAGGTGTTTATCTCCGCTCTCTCCCTCCTCTCCCCCTGTCTTCCTCCCACTCCTCTCTCTCTCTCTGTCCGTATGGCAGCGATGAGACCCGGAGCACCACCTGGCTTCATCCTCGCACTGGTGAACCGGTCAACTCTGGACACATGATCCGCTCAGGTAGTTAAGGTCTACGGGTTCTACCCGGCAGTTGGAATCCTTCCTCCTTCCCGCCTTCATTTTCCTCTCTTGTTTACTTTGCCTTGTTTTTTCATTTCTTGTTTGTTTTTGCTTCGTACAGCACGAGTTTACCTGTGTGGGCCCAGCCAGAGGGGAGGGCTGCCAACTTCGTAGTGTCACGGTTAAAAGTGTGGTGTGTTTATTTTTATTTTTTCCAGATCTACCTAGAGGATGGGAGGAAGGATTCACGGAGGAAGGAGCCAGTTACTTCATAAAGTAAGTACCGGCTGTAAGTCACCTGCGATTTCCATAGGAGTGAGCGTGCAGCTTAATATGACTCCTGCCTCTAATTCCCTGCTGGAAGCAGCTCTAATCATCCCAGGACAGATTGGTCTCGTGGAGGAATGGCTGAGGCCAACCTGCTGACCCTGGGATGACCTCCCTGGGTCACACCTTCAAAAGAACCACAGGATCATAGTGTTCCGTTTGCTGGAATCCACAAACACGCATGCTGGTACAGTTATCTAATAATAAGAGGGTTGTGAAATTGAATCTAGACTTGGCTGTTTATGTGTGGCTTCTCTTAAGCCGAGGAGAAAAACTACAATTTTTTCCCCCACATTTCCCAGTTAGCCACATCATGCACTTGTATGCACTAGTTGAAGTGGGAACAGAACAGACCCAACCTTAGTCTGAGTCAATCTAAAATGTCTAAAAAAAAGACAGAAACACTATAACGTTTTGCTGTTGACAAATGACAGGACAAATGTCCTGAATGCTTCTGCACAAGCCTGGTGTTTTTTTTCCATATGTAATTACATAAATTGTACACCTGTGTGGCTCAAACTATGGCCCTTGTACCTCTGGTGGAATTTAACTCTAGTGGTATGCGAGGGAATCTGAGTTCCACTAGGATTAGATTACTTACTTAGTTGTTTCACACACTTACAGCTGCCATATATTCTTGTTAGTCCTGTGTGTTTGGCTGATTAATAACATTTGGAATGCAGTTCATTAAGGTGTCAAGACAATACGTCTGCATACCTTCAGACTGTATACATTTCTATTACTACCTAATGAACAACCTCAGATAAGACACTGTTGATACGTTTGCGATATTATTAAACGTCTCCTTGAGAACAGCTGGTGAATGAGGCTCCTGATTTTTCTGAGATGCCTTCACTGGCTGGTTCTCCTGTGTCGTTCACAGAATTGAAAAATTGACTCAGCCTTTTTACGATACATGAAATAAATACAGAACAAGGCGACTGATGGTGAAATGAAGCAGATAATGAATCACAAGTGAAAATAATCAAGAAAGAAAATGGAAATCAGCGGATGCAAAGTATTCACTGAAATTAATCTTTTATCGACTTCTCCTCAATATATACTGTAGTTATTACTGTTTAAACTTAAACACAAAACAAGTAAAATACTTACTGCTCTACCCATTGACCTGAAATTGTAATAAAATAACATGTCATTTGAGAGAAATGTCTTTGATTGAACTATTTGTCATTCCAAATGTTCCCTCAGCCATCCATGCCTCTCCATTCTGTATTTTTATCTGTGTGGGTTTGTTTTTTTCTAAGACTCTGTGGTGGATCAGTGATTTCTGTGGCTAATGAATATTCATAGGTCTTTAAGTCTTTGGAAGATGGAAAATTAACATTCTTTCTCCGTCAGGTTCTGACAGTTTACTCCATACGCAGCTGTTTCTGAGGCTGCGCGGTTATCTGTAAATCCACAGTTTGTGAGGTTTGGCTGTTTTATGGCTGTTCAATGCTGAGCTGTTGTGTTGGCAGAGATGTGAGTGTCATTGATGATAAGAGAGGGCAGGGAGCACTTCTGCTGCTGTTGACAGAACAGGCTGTAAGTGCAGACTGTGTCCTTTATTTCCCAGGTAGAAACTGGTTCAGATTTTAGCGCTGGATTAATCTTCATTCACTATCTTGTCGTGATAGATTTCTGCCGCTAAATTTACTGTTTTAACTGTCGGTTTGTGACTCAGACATAGGTGGTGTGCACAAACACACACACACACACACGCACACACACACACACACAAACACCTTTGTCTGAGTCACCTGTATTGTGTCTGATGTGACTCAAACACAGACGGTGTGTGTGTGTGTGTGTGTATCCTTTGCTGTCACTCTTAAAAAAAAAACCAACCACAGAACAGGCAGTGACTGTTATTAAGCGTCTCAGAGTTTCAGATTCTCCCCTCTCTTCTGCCACAGTCAGGAGACAGAGATAGACGTGGTATTATAAGATTGATTAAGATTGGTAATTAAATAAAAATGCTCAAAGCTGGATTTAAGTTACAGAATACTGAGCAGATTGGCAGGAATCCTTTAAAATACAAAGCTAAAATAGACAGCCAAGATGGAAACTTTGGAATTAAAACTGTTAAAACATTTTTAACAGTATTTCGATGTTCTGTATGTTCCTGTCCAATCACGGAGAAGGAACTAAGCCATTATTTAAGCAACAAAACACCTGATCCCCATGTGAAGAAGACACAAAAGGCTCAAGTTAGGCAAATGAAAAGCGAATTGTTTTACGAATTGTTTTACCCATATAAAACAATAGTTTCTTTATTTTAATCCAAATAAATTTTATAATTTCTTAAAAAAAATTTCAGTAGTTTCCTGGCTCACAAAGTGCCTATCATGCATCAGTTTATCCAAATCTCAAAAGGTTGCGTCATGTTTTAAATCACAGACTAAAGAAACAGACTAATTTTACAAAATAAAATAGTTGTTTACACTTTATAAACTAAATCAAAGGTATGAGTTCAGTCGTGTCGGTGGTTTTATGTGACCTGGACATGTTTGCTCCAGGTCTTTTCTTAGTTTCTGGTTCGGAGTGTTTGTGTTCTGTGGCCCTCTCCAAACTTTAATCAGCTTATGAATGGTATTTTCTTTTCTTTTTTTTTTTTTTACAAAATCAACAAGGTGAAGTCGTAACAACCTTGGAATCCAATATCCTATTCACATCTAAGGGGGGGGGGGGGGGGGGGTATTCATCCAGAGGCGTGTTTATATAAGCCCTCTCCAGGGCTGCAGCACTCTCTGCTCTCAACTATCTTCCAACCAAAAATGTTTTTCATCTTTTATTACTTGATGAAAAATAAGCACAGTTTCCA